AGAGAGAGAGAGAGAGAGAGAGAGAGAGAGAGAGAGAGAGAGAGAGAAAGCTGAGAACATATTTACCACTCAGATATCTTCAAATTTTATGTCAGAGTAACTGTCTTGTTAGAAAAGGGAGATAATGACTGCAGCGGAATTCTTGAAGTCAGCACTAAAAAACTAGTGGGAATTTGTAGATTGTAAAGTTTGTGCATTTTTTTCCCTTAAGTTATGAATATTATTCAAATTTCATGGAAAGCAGATTGATTTTTGTCCTTTAACTTGCTGACTTTAAATTTATTGATTTCCCCTTAGATATGTCTATTCTGCAAAGCATCTTTTCAGTGTGATGCATTTTATTTTTGCATGTGAATTTTTTATGCACAATTGACAATAGCATTACATTATTTGGAAATCAAGTCACATTTATAATTTATTAAATTTAGAAAAGTCACTTCCGTTTCCTTCAGATTCTAAAAAGCAGAAATTCTTTTTTATGGAGGATCCTTGCTCATTCTCTTTTCTTTCAATTAATTTTCTATTTAAGTCATTATCATATGTGATAAAACATTGTTCTTTTTAGTAGAGTTCCTTCAGGCTTTTCCATGTGCATGAATTAAATTAATCATTCATTATGATATTATTACAAGGTCCTGTGATAAGCCTGATTTTAATTTCTATTTAGCTTAAGGAAAGCTGTTGAACTTTTTCCAATATTTCCACATTTATATATTTGCAGTGTTCCATAACTGAGGACTCTAGTCCCCTTGATGCCCCAAACTATGTCCTCATAATAGCCAAACACCCAGGCCATTCATTGAAATTAATATTAACTGTTTAGTGGCATAGAGACAAAATGATAAATTCAATTTTTTTTTCTATCTTCAAGTGGTCATTTTGATGATTTGAAGGAAGGGCCTGTGTAGTGCTATGGCATTTACCAAGTGCTACTCTCAGTTGTAGAAGGGATGAATTCACTGTTTGTATCAAATTGGCTACTCGATTTTATGTATATTTGTCAATAAACCAACTAGTTATTGAATTGAGTCTCTGCCTTAGATGTTTGGAATAAACAACAAATGGACTACCCTTCTACTAGATAAAGAACCAAAAAAAGCAAAATGCTTTTGGAACAAATTAATGTTTTATATTTAAACCATCCTGAAAGCTGAAAAGGTATGACTTAGCTGTCTTTCCAAGAGACAAGTGTGCTGAGCCTAAGGGAGCAGACTCAGGTGCTTGAACTTAAAGATATTATTTACATTGCCATCATTTTTTTTTAATGAAAGGTCTTCAAAGGGTCTCTCATGCCAGATAGCAGTTTTAGCCAATCAGAAGCATTTGGGATGTCCCATTTTAACAATTCTGTCTTTTCAATGACATTATCTCCTATGTCCTAGTGATCACCAAATTAGATAGATAGATAAATAGATAGATAGACAGATAAATAGATACATACATACATTCATACATACATACATACATACATACATTTTATTGTTGTTGTATTGTTTTGCTCACGTCCGACTCCATGACCTCATTTGAAGTTTTCTTTGCAAAGATACTAGAGTGGTTTGCCATTTCCTTCTCCAGGTCATTTCATAGATGGGGAATTGGGCCAAAAATGGTTAAGTGACTTGCTCAGGGTCACAAAGCTATTAAGTGTCTGAGGACAGATTTGAACTCAAGAAGATGACTCTTCCTGACTTCAGGCCCAGCATTTTATCCACTGTACTCTCTCTCTCATTCTCTCTCTCTCTCTCTCTCTCTCTCTCACACACACACACACACACACACACACACATACACACGCGCGCGGTTAAAATGTTTTAGCACAGTTTGAATTAAACTGGAATATTTTCAAAATATTACAGTAAACTATTAAAGATAAGGTTTGTTGGAATGGATTGCACATACTAACAACTTAAGTTTAAAATTCAGGCTTAAAAGTGGATGGATTCATTCTTTAATGGATTAGTGGTCAAAGAATATGAACAAACATCCCTCAAAAGAATAATGAATTATAAACTATAATATCAAATATTGCTCTAAGTCACTAATAAAAAGAAATTAAAATCAAAACAACTTTGAGGTTTCATCCCATACCCAGAAAATTGGCATAAATCAGAAAAAAATTAAATAGCAAATGCTGGAATGCATGTTTTTCAGACAGTGGTACTCTCACTGTTGGTATAATAGTGAACTGGTTCATCAACTGGAGTATACAACCTATGCTACACAAGTAATGGCACATGAATATAATGAAAAAATGAATATGAAAAGTACAGAAAAGGTCAGGAAAATTTATAATTAGTACCAGGAAAACAATATAGACAATGAATAAAATAATGTAAATTGAAAAAAAAACAAAAAAAAATCAAAATTTGAAGTCTGTAACTATACTGATCAAACTTGGCTCTGAAGAAGAAAAGACAAAATATGTTTCCCTCCTGCCTCTCTTTGCAGAGATGAGGAATCGTGGACATGAAATTTTGCATATACTGTCACTCTCAGTTGATGTTTTTTTTTTTAAGTTTTGTTTTACTACTTTGTTTCTTATTTTAGGTTTTTACCTTTTTATTTATTTATTTTTGTTGTATGGGATGACTGTACCTAGGAGACTGGGGAAGGACATAGTTGGAAATGAAGGCGACCTAAAAACAACACATATTACTAAACATTTTAAAACATAGATGGGGAAGAATGGAGAAATTACTACATTATGTATATGCTTGGGGATTTGTGTATGCCACTTTAATCATCAAAGTGAAAAAGAAAATGTATTAAATAGTCTATTTGATAATGCTGTTCAATTCAATGCTGTTCAAAGATAAATATAAAATAAAGCAAACAAAAAGCATTTATTCCCTATTTGTTGTATTCCAGCAACTGTACTGAGAATTAGAGATACATAGTCAAAAATGATGTTCCTGCCATTAAGGAGATTACATTTTATCAGGTGAAACAGCCGGGACAGCTAGAGATTCAAACCAAGAAATATAATGACATTTTAGAGTTAAGCTGCCCCTTATTACAATTTCCCCATTTTGGTTAATAGCATCAACCTTCTCCCAGCTGTGCTGGAAATCTCAGAATCATTTCTAGACTTCTTTCTCCCTTTACCTTAATGTCTGATCAGTTGTAACATGTTTGTTCTGCCTCTTCCATCTGTCTCAAATGGCCTCATTTTTTTTTCCAATCCTACAGCCACCACTTAAATTTAGATCCTCATTATCTCTCATTTGGGATATATATTCTCTTTAATGAGAGCAACCTTAAAAACTCTTCCATGATTGTCCTGAACAATAGCTTGATGATACCCTCACTGGGTAGCTAGGTGGTACAGTAGATGGAACACTGGGCCCAAAGTCAGGAAGATGAGTCTTCCTGAATTCAAATATGGCTTCAGACACTTAATAGCTATGTGGTACTGGGTAAATCATTTAACCCTGTTTGCCTCAGTTCCTCATCTGCAAAATGAGCTATAGAAGGAAATGGCAAACCACTTCAGTGTCTCTGCCAAGAAAATCCCAAATTGGGTCACAAAAAGGCAGATAACTAACAGACAAAACAACAACAAGCCGTATTTACTCTCATCTGGACTACTGCAAGAGCTTCCTGACTGATTTTACCTCATTTAGCCTCTTCCTTCTCCAATCCATCATGCCATAAAAAGGTAGACAGAAAGGAAGGAAGTGGGGAGGGGGGAGAGAGTGAGAGCGAGAGTGAGAGCAACAGAGAGAGAGAGAGAGAGAGAGAGAGAGAGATTGAGCTATGTCTATATATCTATATCTAGCCAAGGAGGAGGGTTTTGGACAGGGAAGTCAATAGAATGGTCATTGAAGTCAAAGGATATATCATTTCTACAAAGATTGATTTGATTACTGACCTCAGAAACTGAGTTTGAAAATGTTAGAAAGTTGTGTACTGGGCCTGGGTCCAGGCAACAATAACAGACCTTGGCCTCAAGAGAGGATGCTTTAAGTATGAACCTGCAATGAATGATGGAATATTCATATTATTATTAGTTATTTTTGTTATTATATTATATTTGCTGCCCTCTATGAGCAGTCTTGTCAAAGAAGTACATTTGGTACACATCTTCATTTGCCAGTGGTGAATTTCCTACTAACAAGTTATTTGAAGCAAATTTTGTGATGGAATATTTTGAAGAAAATATCTAGCTATTTGTATAAGTATCTTGTGACAGATGCCTGCTGGTAACTTTTAAGTAAATTGCATCAAAGGTATTTTTTTTAGAAGACACACATACAAATGTTCAATTAACACTGATGTCTCTCTGTCTCTCTGTCTCTGTCTCTGTCCCTGTCTCTCTCTCATATTACAGGAGTTATAAGGACGGCCCTGCATAACATGGACAGAGAAGCCAGAGAGCACTACTCTGTGGTCATTCAAGCCAAAGATATGGCTGGGCAAGTAGGAGGCCTTTCAGGATCCACCACTGTCAATATTACACTCTCAGATGTCAACGACAACCCACCTAGATTTCCACAGAGTATGTACAAGTTTTATAATTTTCATTAAGGATCAACATTGTTATTATTTTCCTTTTCAGTGAATTTCAAGGGAAAATTCATTTGAATAATGCAAAAAAAAGATTACCAATTCATTACATGAGTATTTTCAATAAATGGGATCATTTGGATGTGAAGGATGGTCTTCCTGTGGCACCTAGGATTAACAGGAGGCCCTAAAATTAAAAAAAAAATAACAACCAAATCAACCTCCCTCTACTTCCCCATGGATAATTACATTGACATTTGAGAATGCCAAATGCAGTTGGCTTTAGAACATTAGAATAAATGTGCTAGTTGTCTTTAAGAAAGTCATACAGATGTCAGAGTATGTGTGATGTCACATACAAATACATAGGTAGGAAGAAAAATAAAAGAACAAGTTTGGGGAATGGATAAAGGAATGGAAGTGCTTGTCTAAGACATCTATCTAGCATTAAGTTTGATTTAGATTTGCCCCTGTGTGTGAAGGAATGCCTTACATATTTTGTTCATTTGCATGAGATTTGAGTTATATAGTTGAATAGAAGAATCTTCTCTGCCCTGAAGCATTGGTGTAGCTTGAAAATATTTTCACTGACTGGAACAAAATTTCCCTTCTAGTAAATTGGGAGTCAGAGTGAAGGGGGTGGTTTTAGCATGGCATGATAACTTCTTGAACCTGCTAAGAGTCATAACTAATAACCCACTAAGCATGAAAAGGAAAAAAAAAGCTTTAAAGTGCTTCCATGTAATGTTTGTCCCTTAGAGGAGCAGAAAAAAAAAATTGAGAATTCCTTACTGGTACTATAGCACGATCTTCCTTATGGTACTGCATGGCATTCCTCCTTATACTGGTATACATCTGGGGCTATTCATGACTATTTTTAGAGTCTAAAAGTTGTAATGCTCTTCTTGTTGTTTAGCTGTTTTAGTCACTTCCAACAATTTGTTACCCCATTTGGGTTTTTCTCGGCAAAGATAATAGAGTGGTTTGGCATTTCCTTCTCCAGCTCATTTTACATATGTAGAAACTGAAACAAATAGGGTTAAGTGTTTTGTCCAGGGTCATACAGCCAATAAGTGTCTGAGGCCAGATTTGTATTCAGGAAGATGAATATTCCTTACTCCAGGCCAAGTATTCTATCCAATGCTCCCCCTAGCTGTCCCTACAGTTTTATACTGAGAAGGAAAGATTTTTCAGTATATTGGGTGCTTCAACTTCATTTCTGCCTATTCTCAAGAGAGTTATTTTTATTTGTGTCAGTGTTTGTGTGAGTGAGTGAGATTGAGGATGGAAGTTGTAGGAAGAAAGAGAAGATGAATGAGTAGCTGTTAGGAGAAAATATCAAAAACTTTTTTTAAAAATTTTTTTACTTATGAAATAAAACAAGTATTTTTATAACATACAATAAAAAGATGATTTTATATATACGCAACTGTAAACCTACTATGTAGAACTTGCTAATCCTTTCAAATATATAACAAAATAATCATGCAAATTGTTTTTCTTCCTCCCCCTCCTCCTACCCTAGAGATGGCTGCCATTAGATACACACACACACACCCATAAAGTTATTCTATGCATACTTCCATTTATCAGTTCTTTCTCTGGATGCAGATAGCATTTTTTTTCATATGTCCTTTATAGCTAATTTGGATATTTATAATAGACAAAATAACTTCTTGGCTCAAAGTCATTCTTAAAACAATATTGCTGTTACTGTGTACAATATTCTCTTTGTTCTCTTCATTTCATTCTTCATTATTTCATGCAAGTCTTTCCAAGTTTTTTTCTAAAATCCTTGAGTTCATCATTTCTTATAGGATAGTGATATTCCATCACAATCATATATGAAAACTTGTTAAGCCATTCCCCAATTAATGGACATCTCTGCAATTTCTAGTTCTTTGCCATCACAAAGAGAACTGCTATAAATATTTTACAACATTTAGGTTCTTTTTTTCCTTTTTTCCCTAATTATCTTCAGAAATAGACCAAATAGTGGTATTTCTGGGTCAAAGGGTATAGGTAGTTTCATAACTCTGGGCATAATTCCTGAGTTCTTTCCAAATGGTTGGGTCAGTTTACAATTCTACCAATAATGAATTAGTGTCACAATTTTTCCACATCCCCTCCAACATTTGTCACTTTTCCCCTTCTGTCATTTTAGCCAATCTGGTAGGTGCAAAATGATATCTCAAGGTTGTTTTAATTTGCATTTCTCTAATAAATAATGCTTTAGAACATTTTTATATGACTACAAATTGTTTTGATTTCTTCTTCTAAAAATTGCCTGTTCATATCCTTTGATCACTTATCAATTGGAGAATGACTTATGTTCTTATAGATTTGACAAAGTTTATATATATATATATAATATATATATATGGATATGAGACTTTTATCTGATAAACTGTCCATAAAATTCCTCCCCCAAGAAAACAAACAAACACAACTGTGTTTTAATCAATAGTGTTAGGCTTTCGTTCTATGGAGTTGTGTACAGGGGATATGAATTGATGACTTTTATATACCCATTAAAATAGTTAGTAGGTTTTTTAGAGAAAACTAAAATTACCATGAGGAGGATAAGGAAATATATTTCTCATGTAGATAGTGTGAACAACAAAAGTTTTATTGTTGGAACCTTTCAAGGAATTGTGAGAAAACATTAGTTCTACCTGACGTGGAGACTTAATCCACCTACACCCTTAAGTGAGTTCATTATATTTAATAAAATTTATTTTTCCTCTAATAGTCACAAAATAACATTCAGGATTTCATGATTGACAGGTATGAACTCATTCAGAAACATTGAGGCAGTGTGCTGAGAAGTTGGAAATGAAGGGAACTGTCTTCCAAGCTGTAAATTCTGACTTGTTTAAAAAACCTTCCACACTCAGATTACACTATACATTCTGTTGACTTCAGGATGATTCAGTGTCAGCATAAGAGAAATAGCTTATAGTGAGGCATTCTCTTATCTAGTCTAAAACACAACTCAGAATATAGTTGTATATGCAGGAAGAGTTGTGTTAACATAGTTTGGATAAGATTATTTAGGAGGAGGACGGGAGTTTACAAATTGTGGAATTCATAAATCTATATGCAATAACAATTACAAAATAAAAAAGGGAGAAAAAGACACAGAAAGAGATGCCTAAGGGAGAGAGAGACTGAGACAGAGAGACAGAGAGACAGAGAAAGGAGGGAGCAACAAGGAGGGAGAGATAAGAGAAAAATATTGAATCAGTTTGTTGAATGGAGGACATAATTGATATTATACATAGATTTATGTATTCTATGGAGAGTGAGAACTCAAGTTCCCCTTCCAAATCATGTTCTCCAAACAGCTTAACATGTTTCCCATGGTGTATACAACTATCTGCTGAGCTATTATGTTTTAGAAAAGATTAAAAATACCCTACTGTAAGCTACTTCTCTCATGCTGTCTTTCAGTCATTGACATCATCAATGTATTTAGTGCACAGCTGAATATATATATATATATATAACTGACTAATCTAACAAACATATTTGATGATTTATAACTTTATAAGACTATATATAATGTATAAAGTTATGATATAACTTTATAAGTATACTATATAAACTTCCATACAAATAATTCGTTTCAATTCACCATTCATTAAATGCCTATTCTGTGCTAGATTTTGGAGACATAGAGATACAAAGAGACAATCTTTATTTCCAAAGATCTTATCATTTAAGCATAATTAAATATATAGGACTTTAACTGTAGTACATAGTTTAACTAACTAGAAAGGTGGTAGTAGTTGTAGTGGTAGTTGTTGTTTGTAAGAGTAGAAGAGTTTGGATCTGAGATTTTATTCATATAAGGAATTCCTCTTGAGGGAACGTTCTCAGACTGTGGAGAACTGTAATTGAGCTTTAGAGAATTGCTTGGGGGCTGTGAGAGGTTAAGTAATTTGACTAGGATCAAGCAATCAGTATCTGTTAGGCAAGACTTAATCCCAGGTTTTCCCAATCTTGAGGCTTTCTATCCACTATTCTATCCAGTATTCCAATCTGCCTCTTTGGAAGCTAGGCGTGTGTGTGTGTGTGCGCGCGCGCGCACGCGCATGTGTATATGTATACATGTATGCATGTATATGTGTATGTGTATATGTACATGTATGTGTATGTATACAATTTTATTTCTAAAATCATGTTCTGCCAATATGTTAAGGAAAAACAAGAAAAATGTAAAGGCATAAATTTTATTATCAATGAAATAATTTATTTTAAACTTCAATGAGAATGAAGGAGGATGCCAGGTATGGTGGTACATGATGATAATTCCTGCTATTAGAGAAGAATGAGGCTAATGCATCCCTTGAGCTTAGGAGTTCTTAACTGCAATAGGCTAAGCCAACTGTGTGTCCACATAAAGTTTTGCATTAACATAGTGATTCCTACAGATGTGGAGGCAGCCATGAGATTTCCTGAAGAGGGTATAACTGGCCGAAGTCAGAAATGGAGGACAAAGCTCCCATGCCAATCAATAGTGGGACTTGGCTTGAGAGTGGTCACTTCATTTTCATCCTGGGAAGAACAGGAAGAGAATCTCGAAAAGTTAAATAAAAATAAAAAGAATGAAGGATAAGAACATTCATATTAAAAAAAAATAATGTTTAATGCCACAATACTTGGTAGAAGGCAAAACTGAATTAGTGGTATCTTCCAGTTTATTAATGAATGGAAGGGGTGTGGGGTGTGAAAGAGATGAAACTGACATTTTATAATGAGATCAAGGGAAGGAGAATATTCATCTCCTTTTGAGAAGATCCATTCCCACTTGTGTAAAATGTTCATTTTAACCTCAAATTAAAAACAAACAATGTTGTCAGTAGGTGGTTTCCCAGGACATGAAAGTTACACAAACAGTTCTTTATTATACCAGAATCAGGAAGGGAATTCTGAAGCTTAATCCTTTTAAACACCAAAACTCAAACAATAACGATCACCACCACCACC